AAAATTGACTGACTGAGTGCATTGCCACTACGCCAAGCAAAATGTAAATATTTGATGATGCCACACTGCACCAAAGACTGCGGTGCGGTGCGATGCGGTGCGGTGCACATGAGCTGGAGAGCTAGCTACGTCTTATGTTTACATTAGCGCTGATTTAGTGCGAGTGCAGTAGTTTAGTTTTCGTAGAATTTGTAAACAATTTTCGGTGATCCCTATTGATCAAGCTCGAATTGATCGACTGTGTTTGGGCACTTTTTCGACTGATTGCCATATTCAAATATTGGTGCGTGTGCGGTTAAAATGTCTCAATAGAATATTGTGCTTGGCATTACCAGTTGCTTACCAGTTGCTTACAGTTGGTTACCAGTTGTTTATTAGTTGCTACTTGCAAGTTGCTACTCGCTAGTTTAGAGTAGCGTGTTTACATGGTGGGAAGCGGAATGAAGCGCTGCAATCAGTGCACGGACGCGTGGCTGTAAATTAAATATCGGTAGTACACAAAAGAAAGCAAGACATATGGAAATGGAGCTGTAGCTTTTGAAGTTATCCGCTGACTGGTGTTACTTTTTGTTTGCATATCTTGTGGGCTTAAATATTTTAACAATTCATTAACATAATTAAGTGGTACCAAGTAGAAATATAACTGAAAGGTAAATAATTAAAAATGCTTTATTTTAACAGTCTGAAGGTTAAGATTTTTGTACTACGCCTGAATAAAAAATTAAATACATAACAATAATAACGCACGTATATAATATACTTATAAGATCTTACCCATTTCTTTAACTATAAATTGAGACATTAAAGTTAAATTTATTTTACCTTTTTTAATATTTTTTACACTACTTCAATTCCAGAACATAAATTCGCAAAAAAAAATTTGTTTGCACATATATGGGTTAAGTGCGGAAAAGGCGTATTACATTAAATTTAGTTATGATATATGTTATTACAAACTCTAGAGACAATATTTAAATATTGTTAATTTAAATTAATTTTAAGCTCAAATGGGTACCTTTATACAAAGGGGCAATAGTGCAGCAACCATACAAAAATATCTAAGCATAGCTAAATAAAATTGAGCTAATGAACCCTTCTGTTAAATCTCAAGATCAAGCTGGCCCAAACTGGATCAGGCATAACCTGCTCAGCGTTACAGTATCGCAGCTGAAAAATCACTGCATACTAGAAAGACATCGGATGAGACTGTCATCTACTTTATATTATAATACCTATTGTCGTGATTGTAACTCTGTTGATAAGATCAAAACTGTACTCCACGACATGTGTCAATGTCCATCAATGGCTAGGAGTAATTTTAAACAATTTTCGAAGCCAATTTTTTTTACTGAACTGACAGATCTGTCATCCTATAAAATTAGAGGGTTTATATACTTGTTAAATTGGTTTACTTTGAATGGGGAAATCATACTTAGTCTGCGAATTAACAACAGCTATTTGCGGTGTTAAAACGGGCCATTGTTAGAGTTCAAGTTGGTTTTACATACAAGACCGCCATCCAACCTGACGTAACCTAATTAAATTTAAACACAGTCACATGTTTTAAATTTAGTAACTAAGGTTTATATTCAATTCAGTATACATTAAGACTGAAAAGTTTTCGGAAATTCTCATTTAAAATTCGCGCGCTGTATATTTTTCGATATTTTAAGTTTATGTAGTTTGGCAGCACTGTCCTTAATTACTATGCCAAAAATGAGCTCGATCTGTAGACAGTTCGTTTACGGCAGCTGTTGAAACCAGTTCACCTCAGTAGTGCGTTGCGAAATGTCTTCGACGGTCGTACGACCGTCCTGGAAGGCTTTGTACCACTCATAAACTTGAGTTTTCGATAAAACTGATTCCCCATAAGCCTTTTGTAGCATTCGCAACGATTCTGCACACGAAATTTCGTTCGAAACACAAAATTTGATGCAAACTCTTTGTTCAATATTTTTTTCCATTGTTTTTTTCGCAACGCCCTACTGAGGTGAACTGGTTTCAACAGCTGCCGTAAACGAACTGTCTGACAGATCGCGCTCATTTTGGCATAGTAATTAAGGACAGTGCTGCCAAACTACATAAACTTAAAATATCGGAAAATATACAGCGCGCGAATTTTAAATGAGAATTTCCGAAAGCTT